TGCTCCTCCCCTTGCCTGCCGATTGCTTCCCCCCTCTGTTGCCGATTGCTCTTCACCCATCTTCCATGTGCCATACTTCTCATCAGATCCTGATCTTGACTTTTCCGGTATCCTCATCTCCGATTCCTCCTCTCTACCCATCTTCCATCTGCCACACTTCTCGCCAGATCTCGATCCTCGACATCCTCATCCTCCTCATCCCAGATCCGTGGAGTAGCCTCCAATCTTCAACAGGTAAGCTCACTTTTCTCAAACTTTAATCTTCTAAATTGTTGGTTTACTACTGCATTTCACCCCCTTTTTGATTTCTATACAGCATGGCTTTTGCTTTCAATTTGCATGTGAATTTCTTGGTTTTCTTGCTGTTCATCAATCAGCTTCCCATCTACTCTGCTTTCTCTTTCAAGCCGGAGCAAGTCAAGGTCACATTTCTGCTGTTCCCTTGCCCCTATTACCAGGTAATTTTCTAGGCACACACATGACTTGATTTTAAGTCAATGATCATCAAATGCTTAATTATAGTTATATAAATAAATGTAGATTCTCTCGGTTGTTGTTTTTTAATTGGGTAACATAGCTTTTGTGGAAAATAAAAAGAAGGGTTGTACGTTGATTAGGTTAAATGTTTGTCTCTCTCCAATGAATGGTTTCAGTCATGTATAATGGAATTATCGAGCAGATAAGGTTTTTTTCTTTTTTTCTTTTTTGTCAGATGCACATCTTTGATCATTTCTTCCTTTATTGTTGTTTGTCATTTGCTTCTTTTTACCTAAACTACTTATGTTGCCAACTCGAAATGCCTAAGGAAAGAACAATGGATAATGCTAGGCAGAATGTTTGTATGAGAAAACCAACCTGAAATAAAGAAATGGTTTAGATTCTGTAGAATATGGCAAAGAATTAATCCTTATTTTTTTTCACTTACCATGCTTTTAGTCCCTTATTTTTGCTAAATATGAGAGATGTTTGTTTCCTTTCTCTTCTTGTTTTGCTGTTAACCTAATTTTCTCTTATCCTTTTATATTTGCAGAGTTTTTGAGAGAGGTAGTGTCAAGTTGGTAGTTGATGATATTTCATATGATTTTGTAAAAGGGGCAACTGTTGATTATGTTGAGGTGCTAATTGGTTCTACATATCTGGTAAGTCATGTTATATCCCATTGAGCATATATTTCTTTTCTATTCATTTTTTTCCTAGTAGGTGAAAGATATTCTAATCTTATTTCATGATGGGAAAACTTATAGTATTCAGGAATCTAAAATTGATTAACTAGTAAGTAGAGTAGATATCAAATCCATATCTTTTTGTGTTTTTCTTAGACTAGTAGTATATTTTTTACACAATTGCTGGCACTGAGCTTTGAAGTATGTATGGTCAAAACCTTAGGATGTGTGTTTTCTCATCTCATATTTGCACAGAGAAGGGTGCTTCTTTGTTACCAAAGATGATTGGAGGAGAGGCAACCTCCAATATCACACTCCAAAATAAAACCCATTTTTATGTTTTTGTGGCATAACAGCAAGTGTATGGGTATCCCCAACTATTTTTTCCCTCTGCTACCTTCATTGCACCCTGAATAGGCAATACTGGCCAAAAGAGAATCAAGTAGTGCCCAAATGTCACCTATGTAATTGAGAGATCGTGCTACTATTTGTTTATCACGTGTTTTCCATTTGTTTGGATTGATGGAAGGCAATGGGGTGAGAACAATTGGTCTAAGTTTAATTAGACAAGGGGAAGTTTTCTTCTTATTATTTTATTTTACTTTATTTTAGCAACACTACTATAAATCATTCTCAATAAAAGCAACTCAAGCAATTGACTATAAGAATGACCTTTTCTGAGTGCCAGAGTGATGGTAAGAAATCTTATATAGCAACATTACAATGCAAAAACTGTGATTTTTAGTGTTTCTATCTTTGATAGGAAAGAATTCTGGTTGGGTAATTACTTTCTTGTCAATGCACATCTCTGATTGCAGTTGCACGTCCATTAAGTTGTTTATGTTATTACTCATCATAAATTGCAAGCTTGTATGGGATATACATTCTTAACCTCCTTTTTTGTGCAATATTCCTCAACACTTGTATTATGTGTCTTATCCTTTCCATATCCCTTCACAATATGAAGTTGGTGCTGAAGTATAATGCTAATTTCACCGGAATTGTTTGTACAAATTCATTGATGGTGTGTTTGGAAACATGATTTTGATAGAGTGTATTTGAATTTCAGCACTTCAAATTCAATATCATTGCTTGTTTTTGAATAAATAAAATGTAATTGAATTTAAATAAAATACATGTATTTCAATCTATGTATTTAAAAGATATAAAAATCATGTATTTCAAATTCATACCTAGACCCATGAATTTCAATTTCATGGTGAATTTACTCTGCAGAGTTTTTTGAGCCCTTGTGCTCTGTTTGCCCAGCTACCGGTCGTCACCATTACCCACACCATTACCCGCCGTAGTCTTCGCCAAGAAAGAACACCCGACTACATACTTCGAAGGCAAACTCCGGCGAGGAAACCGGTGCTAGTCCGCAACTTTCGGTGCCATCCTCTTCCTCAACATCTTCCTCTTTGAAGGATTACTCCCGCTGCTACTATTCGACACGGTTGTCGTCATCACTGTTAGTGGACTAATTTCACGGCTGCCGTTACTACAACTACTCCCATTATTCCCTTCACCTAACAAATTACAAGTCGCCATGAAAACCCCAGAAAACCCCCAAACCCAATTACAAAACCACTGTTACTTCTTCCCTTGTTCTTCATTTCATGGATATATTATAAAGAAAAACAAAGAAGACAACCAAACAGATAACGTTAGCAACGTTGGGATACGATTCTTGTTAAAAACGAGCTCAAAGTCCCACGTTAAGAAAAATATAATAAATGGGAAGTACGCTGACGGCATGCCGTTTGGATGTTTGTGAAAATGTCGCAGAGAACCTAAGGAAGGGAAATTAAAAGAAAATTGGGGGAGGGTGGTGGGGAGGAGGTGCATGGGAAGGGTTGAGGTGGAGGTGGGGTGGCCGATCGCTGAGCATCATTATTGGGACATAATCAAATTTCAATTTCAAATTCTGAGTCCCGTGGGTGGTATTAGGGGATCTGATTACAATTTTGGGTTATGTTGACAGGAGAGGAAAGTGTGTGCTGCCACTTTCATCTTTCCAATTGCTTGAACAGTTTATGGATGTATGTCATCTTAAGGAGATTTGTTTTAAAGGCAATCCTTATACCTGGAATAATGGAAGATCAGGTAGTTCTAATGTGCAACAACGGCTTGATAGAGGTTTGGCTGATGAAGTGTGGTTCTAGTGCTTCCCATATGCTCAACTGTTTCAAGAGCTGCGTATAGGGTCTGATCATGGGCCACTTATTTTATATATGGATATATTTGACAATCATTTTAAATGTTATTTTTTTCTTTTATATTTTATAGTAAAACTCTTCCATAACAAATCTATTTTTATAGAAATTGATTAATGAAAATTATTATTTATTTTTTTAACCTAATTTATTTGTCTTGAAATAATATAAATAATGTTTTAAAAGATTAAAATTGTTAACTTTAGTTTTATTAAATTTAAATATAAATTTAAATAATGATTAGAAGAAAGCTTAATTTAGTAGGAAAAATTTAATTTTAAATACATAATTTTTTAATATATCCAAATAATATATTTAAAAATACATGTATTTAAAATTTATTTTTTTATTCAATCCAAATAGAGTATTTTAAAATACATGTATTTTAATTACACTCATCAAATTCAAATTTAAGTTTTCAAATACAACCTGATTGAAATTGGATGGTGCAATTAATGTGAGTTTTTTTTTTTTTTTTGACACTAAGAATTAATTAGGGGTAGTGTTAGTATTTGTTAGTGGAGAGGCTTGAACATCTAAAGGGATGCAGATCACCTGCTGCCCAAGGGCAGCGTGGCCACCTAAGCCACATGGGGGTCTGCAATGTGAGCCTTAAGCTAAGTGGAGAGATTCTCATAGTAATAATTTATGTCCCATAAGATTAGTGTGTTACTGCCTTAGTCTGCAAGGTTTGACATTTATAACTTCATAAATGAAGCGTTGAGTAGCTTTAGTCTAGCAATACCTTCTGTCAATAATCATTCTTCACATCTAGTTTATGCCTCCGTTCACTGGGGCATTTTTTTTTTCTCGGGTCTGGTAGCATGCCATTGGTGTCTCCTTATCCTTGGTATAATACAGAATGTGCAGGACTGCAGCAATCAAATCTCAATATCTTATGCTGGTGTCTACAAATCCAAGTGCGGTGGGAGGCTGCAGTTGTAAAAGTTCATTCGTGGTGAAACGGTAGGTCGTTCAAGCATATTGCCCATATTTCCGGCAAGGATGGAAAATCATCTGAATCTGGAGTCAATTCATTTTTCTACAGGATAACAATAATCTGAATTCGTACACATTGAGCAATCATGTAATATTTTGAAGTTACTTGACTTGTCTTGCCTTAGGAACTCATAGATGATTGATCGTCCTGGTATTTTGTAATTAGCCCGTGTGATAATTTAGTTCCGATGGGGGTCATGTTGAACGAAGTTGATTATGGGACGGTCACCTCATTGTGGGTCATCATATAAGAGGTTACTGAGCAATACAGCATACAAACAACAATGTAACAAACCATGTTGATTTGATTATTTATATTATGAGTCTGTAACAAGCAACACAACATGAAGAGCAAACAATGAAAAAGGAAGCAAAGGAAATGAATTATTCTAGCCATCCAAATTGTTGGCAAATCAATTCCTTTAAAAAGACAATTAAACCAATTCAAGGTCAAAAAAACATGTATGTTGAATTGGAGTAACAATTACTACAACAATGAGCATTGCTATCTATGGTAGATATATATGCTCAAGTCAAATATAAACATTTATTTATCTATTAATATTTAAATTATTGATTAACAGTATTTGTATTTTATAAATATAAAAATTCCAATTGCAAACATCAATTTTAACATAATTAAATTAAAAAAAATTGAAACTCTATAAAAATGCCAAAAAAAAAAAAAGAAGAAGAAGAAGAAGAAGAGAGAAACAATGTTTTTTTAAAGAAACTGTTCTTTTCATTTTTAATGGAAAATCAGTCTAGATGATTGTTATTTTCAATTTTTATTTTTATTTTTTTATTTATAAAACTTAAATGTAGCATATTTCATTTTTTAATATTAAAATATAAGCATTTATTTATCTATTAATATTAAAATTATTAATTCCTAGCATTTATATTTTATAAATATAAAAATTTTCATTTGTAATCATCAACTTTAACATAATTAAATTAAAAAAAAATTAAAACTCTATAAAAATGGCAAAAAAAAAAAGAAGAGAAACAATACTTTTTAAAAAAAACGTCATTTTCAGTTATTTTAAGATTAAAAGATCTTTTATAAAAAATTTTACCAAATAATTTTTCATTCTTGAAAGTACTTTTATAAAAAATTTTATCAAATATCATTAACTTTTCAAAAACAAAACTTCTACAACAGATTTTTACAAACAAAACTTCCATCAAAAACTCTAACCATACCAAAGGGACATGTAATGTCACCAATTTTAACTAAAATTTTATAAATTTATAATTTTTTTAAAATAGTTAATAATAATATTTAAACATTTTATAAATTAATTTTAATATATTAAATAATAAATATTACTTATTTTATTAATTACTAATTTTTTAACAGTCATATTAAAATAAAAATTTAATAATTTTAATAAATTTAACAACTTTAATGATAGCAATAAGTATTGCCCAAAAAGCACTGGAAATTGCATTTATAAGCGAAGTACATATTAACCAAGCTCGTCTTTTTGTTGATAAAATAATTGAGCCATTTTTTTTTTTTTAATAAGGATGTATTTAGGATTGTTGTAAGGTGATATATTTGTAACTGTAATTACAGTTATCTTGAACTATGTTATACTGCAATTATGATTCAAAGTTATTTTAATATTTAGTTATTTATTTCTTATAAGTATTATATATAGCATATGATAAATTTTTTCGTAATAATTTAAATTTTTTAAGTTTTATATATATTATGGGTGTTGTTTTGAATTTTGTAAGGGAGTAGTGGGAATGAATTTTTAATATTTTATGGAATCTTAAACTAAATGAAATGTTGATTTAAATAAATTACTATAAATTATCTTGTAAATGAATTAAATGAAGTTGGATTTTAATAGATAATTTTGTAATTATATTAAATATTAGGTATTATACATGAAAGCATAGCTAAAAAACTCTAAAACAAGACTTTTGATTTTATATATAAAATTATTATAAATCTGTTAGAGTTTTTTTATATCTTTAAAAAAAATAATTTAAAAAAAATTATCAAACACATAAATTTAAAAATATTATACACTTACAAGAAAAAACCCAACTGCAATTCCAAATGTATCCTAAATTTCATTGGTCTTGTGCTGTGGATTAGAAAAAATAATAATAAAAAACCCTCTAAAATGCATATTAGGGTTAGGATTTTGTTGACGATTATTTAAAATTTTAAAATGATTAGAAAATTACTCTTTTTACCTCAAAATAATAGACATTTTTTAATTTTATCTTTAAATTAGAGATTAGAGGACAATTTATGTTTTTATATATCTAGATTAGCCTTACAAAAGAGATAAAGATAAAAGGTACTTTCTATGATAGGATGGAGATAATTAAAGTCATAAGGTTAAAGTAGCAACAAAATACTATCTACATTCAATTTCAGTAAAACCTAATTTTTAATTTGGCATATTTAAATTTACTTGTCTACTCTTTCTTTTTTCTTAGGATGTCATTCAATACTTATTTTTATTTCACCCTTATTTTAAAATGATAATTATAGCATATATGTCACGCACCAAAACCCAAATTCGAGGCGCGACAGACGCCGTACACTCGTGAGACGAGTCCCACAAGTGCACAAGGCTCGGAACTTATCATATCACACTCTGATACCATCAAAATCCGAAGATCAAATCTTTAAAATTTACTCTGATATCATAAAATCTCCAAATACAAGATCATGATTCATATCTAAAATTTATATCCAATTACAATATGGCTAGCCTTCTAACTCGTCACTTCCCGTGGTTTCCCGTCCTCGGTTTCACTTTCTGAAATGGTGGACAAGGAAAAACTATGAGATAAACTCAGTAAGTAAATATGGAGTGCCCCTTATCAAACTTAAAGCATGCCAACAAGTACAATCACGAAAACATATACAGTACGGGCACGAAATAGACGTCTCCTCTATAGGTCACGGCCAGTGTTTAAACCTCCCACTGGCAGGCAACAGGAATTACTAGTGTTTAACTCCCATTAGTAGGATTACAGGAATGAACCGGTTCTATTAGGAACATGTCGACATGTGCTAGCGTTTAAACCTCCCACCAGTGGGCAACAGGATAACATGACCGTATCGGAGACAAAACAGGCAGAAGTTAATAGAAAATCATGCTTTACTAATCACTTTCAAATCATCGGGGTAATCAATTAAATTTCAAGTAGGCATGCTCAATTTAATGAAAAGCATAAAACATTTCACTTCAAATCAGTCATGCTCGTGTAAAACGGGTTTAGTCCCGCCACCATTTCAAAAACAAATCAAAACATGCTTTTAAAATCAAAGGACGTTACCATAATTTTACTTACCTCACTTGCATAAAACCGAGCACTCAATTCACGTACTAAACTGACAGGACGATCAAGAACCTAATCAAAATATCCACAATTAATTATCGTATCACCACAAATTCAAACTGAAATCATCATTAGGATCACTCTTAATCCCGATGTTATCCCTATCAATCTCCACATGATCAAATATCTCCAAATTCATTCTTATATCACAAACTAATCACTTAAATCCCCGTTAATAGTTGGCCCTCGGGGTGTGAACAGTAACCTGTGAACAGTACCGGTGAACAGTGACCCCGACGTGAACAGTAACAGCACTTCCAAAATTGGCCAAAACACTAGATAATCTCACGGGGTTTTCTCTCCAAAAAGCACAACAATCTAAATCAAGCTAATTTACACTTAAACCAAGCTTAAAACATGTTCAAAGGCTACCGGAATTCCCCCCATTTTTCCAACACAATTCGGACATACAAGGCAGCAAACTAAATGGACAATTTAAGCCTTAAAAGGCTGTCACATACCAGAATTTGCAAGCAAAACCGGACTGCAGGTTGAGGGAAAAGGCCGGCGGCAAGCTGCAGGGAAAGCTCACGGGTTTACCCAAAAATTGGAGAAAATAAGAGCAATCAAAGTTAACCCAAGCCAATTCAAGCAAGAACAAAGGAATTAGGGGCTGTTCTTACCGCAAAAAATGCCCAGAAATCACCCACAATCAAGAGCAGCCGGCGGAAGGACAAAGCAGAGCAGGGCAGATCCGGCTTTTCCAGCAGGGGAAGAAGGTTTCTGGGTTCTTTATGGGTTCTAGAACAAGAAACGAAGGAGAAAACCAAGCTTATCTCACCAATTTCTCAAAGGCTGGCTGGGTTCCCTTTCTTTTTTTTTTTCCTTCGGGTGGCTGCAGCGGGAAGAAAGAAGAAGAAGAAAAGCAGAATCGGGCAAGGCTGGGAAGAAAAGAAAGAAAGAAAAAGAAAGACAAAAGAAGTCATCCTTATCCAAAATCTTTCCCTCTTTAAGTCCCTCAACTTTCAAAATGTTGGCCATCAAGTCCCAAACAATCTTTTCTCACAATCAAGTCCCTAACTTAAATGATAAAATTCCCGAAAATTTGGGATATTACAATATATTTAACAACAAGAATTATTTAGTTAGTGATTAATTAAGGATAAATATGAAATTTTATCAATTAATTAATACATCCTAATTTTATTGGACAAAAAAACTAGACATACTAAAGTTTAACTAAAGGAAGTATTTGTATCCCTTAAAATATGAAAAAAAAGAAGACAATTAATCCTTGATAAATTTGAATAAAAAATATCTAATATTCTAAAGCAAAGGAAATAAGTTTTTAAGATCGCTAAAGGAGTCATCACTTGTCTAAATTATATGGTAGGACAAGCCATCTAAAATGGTCTGCAAAAAGATTGGGTCCAAGAGTATTGTTTGGTGTAAGGAAAGGCATACATGCATGTCACACCTCACAATTCTCTATGTAAAATATATTATTGCATACTTTAAAATTGGAGTTTATTCAACTTATTTTTATTTTCAGTTTATTTACCTCAAAATAAAACTCATGGATAAAAATGAAACTTTTTTAAGTTTTTGGTCTTAATTAAAACAAATGGCAAACATGCACGTGCACATGCAAATGAAATAAAATGAAAAGGAAGGATTTAATTGACAGAAGCTAGAATTAAACTAAAGGACTAAAATGTCATACCATGCAAATGTGTGGGCATAAATGCACACATTCAAAAGTTAGGGGCTAATCCACACAGATTAGAAAAGTTTAGGACAGAATTGAAAAAGGGAATTAGGGACTGAATTACACAAAATTGAATTCTTTTAGGTAAAATTCAAATTCTCAGAAAATTTTAGAAAAATTTTGACTTTGAATTTTGACCAAATTAAATTAATTAAATTCAATTAAAAATCAATTAAACTCCAATTAGTATAATTAACCACCATTAATTAAAATTAACTAATGATAATTAATTAGCTTAATTATATTCAAATTAGATTAATCAAAATTTTCATTTATACCATTTAGAGTCAATTAAGATAACCAATCAAGATTAATTACGATGATTAATTTTTACAAATTATATCCAAAATAAATTAATTAAATAAACAAAAAAGTGAAAATCAAGATATCCAAACATTAAAAATTTCAAGACATCTTATCCCAAGCATATAATCGATAAAATTTAAGCAGAATCTACATTATATCCACCCATCTTGTGGCTGTGATTGGATGTCTTGGATGTCTTGATATCTTTAATATCAAGACATCCTACTTTCCACAATCTCTTAAATAAAATGGAAACATTTTTTTTTTTAAATGGATGATGGACTTTTGGAGTCAATAGGCTTAGAACTTTAGCTGAGTTGAATTTTATTTCTTTAATATTACACTTTTAAACCCATGAAAAGGTTCAAAGCACAATCCAAGCCCAATTAGGTTAAAGTTTATTTTGTTGTTAGTCTACTCCTTTTAGAGTGACTCTCCTCAAATAAGGAAGGGATAATCACAGCTGTTAGCATCAGGTTCTCTTCTTCTTTGCTCAGTGAGTCTAAGTTGCTCCTAGGCTTTATTGCTGTTGTTTTTTTTTATTTGTTCTTGGATATTTTTAATAATAGGAAACTAGCAACTTATTTTATTGTTGTTATTTTCTAATGGGTAGTTGGTGTTTGCATTTGGGGTCAAAAAAGTCCAAGTGAGGCTATTTTATGATTGCGCATTGGATTCTATTTTCAAAGGAAGGCTATAGTGTTGTGCTCTACTTTGATGGAGGGCTATTTTATGGGTTCTAAGTTGAAGGAGGTTCATCGGGTGCAACTGGACTAGGGTTTATCGAGATTGATGAAATGGTGATGGTGGAATTAGAACCAACGTTGATCTTGGCTCCATGCTGGGGAAGACTACCTTCACAATGAAGTAGATAGATGAATTTTCCTTGGTTAATGAATGATCTATTGTTTCTTGAGAGATAAAAGAACGACGCCTCGTTAGACAAGTTTTCATAAGGCAAAAGGTGAATCTCACTTGGCTACAAAATGCCATGACTCTTTCTTGGAAACCTAAACAAGGTGTTAAAACTATTCAAATTGGACATAAGATGTTTATGTTCTAGTTTGTGAATCGTTCTAATCTTGATAGAGTTCTACAGAAAGTTACCTAGAACTTTAGAAAGAAATTTTCTCATAATTTTAAAGAGGTTCAAGCCTAAGTTGACTTTATGGCAATATGATTTTTCAACCAATCAGTTTTGGATGCATTTTCATGATTTTCTCATAAAATTGCACTCTAAAAGGGTGGGATAAATTGTTGGAACTTAAATATTTTAATAAAAAATAAAATAATATATTTTATAAATTAAATTTATAGTTCTATTAAAGACTTAGTTAAAGTAACTGTTGTAAGTTAGTTGCCTTACTTAAGAGCACATTATTTCATAACAATTGCTCAATTTATTCTTATCATTAACCCACGAATAGGAGTTATATAACCATGAGTCTTATAAATAGGATATGTCTTATAAATAGGACATGTCTTTTTGCTCAACTAAGTGTGTTCTTTCACATTCTTTTATTTTTCTTACCTTACTTTATTTTCTAAATATTCTTGGGTAAAGAAGGGTGTTTTGAGTGCAGTGACTATATGAATAGTGCAGATTCATAGAGTGTACTTATAAAGCTATAGCATCCTGGGGTGACATGTTTTGTGTATCTCTGCTGCACTGGTCGATTTACTCTTTGTAAATACATGAATCGCCTTAAAGTAAATAATCTTTTCATGCCTATTTTAACGATAATTTCTTATTGATATTTTATAATAAGTTCACTAAGTATTATTTTATTTGATTTTGTGACCAAGACACAACAATAACATGATGTGGAGATGGAGGAGAATGTTCAAGAAACAACAATTTTAATGCGATTCAATATACAAAGCAGAATTGAAACATATGCCACCTTGTGTAAGCAAAATACTTTCTTGAATATATTTTTGCCAAGCAAGTACGAGTTTCTAACCCTCATGCAATATTTGATGTGTCATCTATTTATTGAATCATTATTCAATTGTATGCATGAAATGTTGGAAAACTTGGAATTATATGTGATGGTCCATGATCTTTTTTTGTTAAAAACAATATGGTATTGGATCACCATATAGCTTGCCTGAATTGTAACCATAAGCATGAGTAATTCTTGTTTTTTGTATTTTAGTAGTATCATCATGGAATAATCGTTCTATTAAATATTAATTTGGCACATTATATTTGTTATTCCACTTAATTAGTAGCTTGACAATGACATAGTAACCATTTTATATCCATTCAATAATTCTATAATTATTGTATAAATTACTTGGCTATATTGGTATGCATGGGACTAGTCGTTGTAATTAAATGTAATCATTAAAAACATTAATATGATATATAAGAAATTTATTTTTGAATGGCTCTACAAATTTGAGGGTGTCTAACAATGTCTTCTTATTTTCTGCTATTTAGAAATTGATGCAAGTGTGTATATGACGCACATTATGATTATTTTGTTATTTTTGAGCATTAATATGCACCATTGATATATAATTAACTAGTGATTATTATTTTTCAATGGTAAAAAAAAAAAATAGTGAATAAATATGTGCCTTTGATTGACCATATTATTAAGTTCTTTGATGCAACAGAGGAAAACTTTGAGAACCCAAGCAAAAAGTTGCTCAATTTGGTCCATGTAATTATTTTGGTAAAAAATGGACATGAAATTTGGGTTGATATATTCTAAAAATGTAAGTTGAATTTTTTAAGCTTATGTGACCAAGGAGCCATTTGTGGTGATAAAATGCGAGATGAGCTAATGTGCTCTTATGGAAATCTAGTGAGAAAATGAGTTTCTTTATGAACTCAATTATTTGAGATTTGCCTAATGTGGGGGATTGTGATGTCCCTTTGTATTATTATTGGTGATGAGACAAATGGTGCCTAATTGAAATTTTATATAGCATTCCTATTAGACAATAAGGTATAATGGTGCTTAACAAAAGCAAATGTGATATGCACTCCTGTTATACAATTATGGTGTAATGGTGCATGATGAAAAATAATTAAGGCACTTTACTTGAATAGAAGGGATATATTATCATGGACATTCCTATTGCACAATAAGGTACAATAGTGTTTGAGTTAAAAATTCTTAATTACATGTCTCTGAATGTATATTGAAAGAAAATGGTGATTCACTAGCTTGATTTGATATCAAAATTGTGGTGCCATGAATTGAGAATTTGTGAAATATGAATGTGAATTTTATGAGCTAGTAGACATGTGTGTTGATGTGAAAAAGAAAAAGTGAGAAAAAGAATGAGCTAAATCTCTTTGTTACCCACTATAGCACCAACTAGGTCTTTGGTAAAAACAAAAGTTGGAGAAAAAAAAAAAAAAACTATGATCATGGTCCAAGGTCTAATGCTCATCGAGGAAAATGAGATTTAAGCTCAATAATGTAGAACTTCCTATTAGGATACCCAACTTGAATTTTAAGAATTGGGTTTTGAATAAGAAAAATGAATCATAGAGAAGTCATTGTTGAAAGATATATCAATATTTTATGGAAAAAATTTCCAATCTCATTCCTAATGTGAGGATGCATCTATCATATAATGAATTAAGGGTTGAGTTCTATACTCTTAATGAGATTTGTAGCTCTATGGGTGGGGTGTCTTAGTTATGGGAGCACTCTTGACGACTTTCACCTATATGGGTGTTGAAGTGAGGCTGTTCTATGAAAATTGGATGGGCAATTTTCTAGATCACCCATGAAAACCAGAATCATGCACAAGGCCCTAATGCGGCAATTGTGTGAAAAACTCAACACTCGGATCATTATGTGTATGATGTGATTCTTATATCTTCCAATGGGG